AGAGACCCGGTGCCAGGCTTGCCTGGCAAGCCTCTGAGAAACATCTGCCTCACTCTTAAACCTGGTCACCCCCAACTGCACCCTCGGCACCCATCCACTTTAACAATGGAGGATTGTTTGCCCCTAGCAAAAATAGAACCTTGTCATCTGTGGCGACGTGGCTGAAAAGGGAGGACATTACGTCAGACGAAATGAACCAGACATGGGATAAAAAGTGCGCATGTTCTCACCGGGTGGAATCTGGGAAAGATGCTGTCACAGTAGTGGGTGAGACAGCCATCACCAGAGCCCAGGATGGGTCGGGGGAAGGGTGAGGAGGAGGAGGAAATGGTTTAATAGAGATGAGGTGCAGTGAGACAGAGAACAGAGAAGATGCTGACTGTCCACAACACAGAAGACAAATCCCAGGTGACAGATGCTCCAGGTGCTTGATGACATCCTCACACATTGTATTCCCATTCTGAAAGCTCACACGGGGCGAGGCGGGGCGGGGCGGGGCGGGGCGGGGCGGGGCGGGGCGGGGTGGTGTAGAGAAATAGGGTTAGGAACACTTGGTAGGAGACTGAATTTGGTTCCTACACACAAATCGGGTGGCTCACAACTGTCTGCAACTGCAACTCCCAGGGATAATGCTCTCTTCTGGCCTTCATAAGACCCAAGTGCACACACACACACACACACACACACACACCACAAATAAATAAATAATGAATTAAGAAAAGAAACCTCACACCATGCGCACAAATATGTAGCTTTTATATGATAATTAGATCATTCTTGTGCCTCCATTTTGACAGTCATATGGTCTCCATTCTGAGGACAGTACTCCCTTCACGTGGGTGTGGCAAGGATCCAGTGTGTGCCCCAGCTGTTACAGTAGTGCCTTGTGAACTAGGACTATCATTTACATCTGGACTCAGCCTAGAGAGGCCCGTAAACTATACCTGGCGCCCAGGGAGATGGGCTAGAGGATGGAGCTAGAAGATCAATCCCGGTATGGAGGCGAGTGGGAGGGCTATAGCAGTCCGAGGCTAGCCCAACAGCAAGGCTAGCCCAATAGCAAGCAGCTTCTTCAGAGCCATAATAGATGCTGTGGTCCTGAGCCTCAGTCGTGGAAATGTCCTGCTTCCTCTGACCACAGCATAGAGCACCTGGGGACAGAGGAAAGGCAGCTTTTCCTTGGCAGAGCCATCACCAGGATGTGAGCCTCACTTCAGGCTCCAAGCCCCATGTTTCGTGAAGTGAGACCTCTTAAGAGTAGACAGGACGCTATCCTCTGACACCCTAGCGGCTTCTAGCCACTCACCCAGGATGACTGCCCCTCCATGTGTCTCCCTGGACTGCACAGCATAGGCTCTAACAATCTCCTGTATCACCGCCATCTCCTGGTTTCAGCCCACACAGTGTTTTCTTTGGGGTCAGAGGTTTCCGTGGCAGATAACAACAGAAACCCCTCAATAATTGCCCGAGCAGGATCCAGCCTCAACAATGTGCCCCATGTCCTCTTGTCCCCAGTTGTGGGTTTGGTAAGTTCTTTTGTGCAAATTCCAGCAGCCACGGACCTCCGCTGACTCCCGGGGGGGGGGGGGCTGGCGCAGTCTGGGAAAGTATGAGAGTGAGTGAGCAGAGGCGAACAAGGAGCAGAGGCCACAGGGCCCTCAGGCAGCAAAGATGAGGCTGTAGGACATGAGCGGGGGGGGGGGGGGGGGGTGCTTAGTGAGATTATGAGAGGACACTTCATTGTCCCGTGACTTAGCAAAGATGGTTACAGTCAAGAACATTCTAGTTTGCTTTCTCTTGCTTTGATAAGCATCCATCGCCAAAAGCAATTTGAGAAGGAAAGGGTTTATCTGGCTCACAGCTTACAGTCCATTGTGGAGGGGCAGGGACTCAAGCAGGAACCTGGAGGCAGGAGTTGACGCAGAGGCCATGGAGGAGTGCTGTTCCTGGCTTGCTCTTTATGGCCCTCCCAGCCATGAAGCACCCAGGACCACCAGTCCAGAGATGGCACTGCCCACGGTGGGTTGGGCCCTTCCGTATCAATCATTAATCAAGAAAATCCCCGATGGGCTTGCCCAAGGCTAAACTTCAATGTCCCAGGTAGACCCTAACTTGTATCACTTAGACAAAACTAACCAGCTGGTGGGGTGGGGTCTCAACAAATATTTGTCTTCGGAATGGAAGATGAGGTGACCCTAGGTCAAGAAGATGGTTCAGTATATAAAGAGGCTTGAGTTTGATTCCCAGAACCCACCTGATATAAAAGAACCAGCTCCGGCCTCCCTCCACACACATACACAAAGAAGTATTTTTACAAAAGCATTAGGTAGCCCCCGTGCTCCATGGAAGATGTGTATATGATCCTAGACTCATGGGATCAGCTCCTACAAGTAACCATGTAGGCCACTGTGCTAACTCTGTAGATAAGAAAACCAAGGCGCTAGAGACCCAAGTTGTCATAGCAACAGAGCTAGGCTATAGCCAGGTACCACTGAGCATTCAAGAGTATAACTGGACATGGTGGCACACCCCTGCAATCCCAGTACTCGGGATGCAGACGTAGTTGGATCTCTTCAGTTTGAGGCCAGCCTGGTCAACAGAGTGAGTTCGAGAATAGCCAGGGCTACACAGAATAAACCTGGTCTCAAAAAAGAATGTTGTGTGGACATAGTAAGGTTCGTTCAACTTTAAAGATAAGTGAACTCTGTCAAACACAGGAAAAGGATGGAATTGGAGGCTACCGTGTTAAATGAAATAAGCCAGCCCCAGGAAGATAAGAATTTTTTTTTCTCATATGTAAAAGCATTGGGGTTATGCTGCTAGCGATGTTAAGGGAGACTGGGAAAGGGAAGGGGATGAGAGTCGCCTGTGGGTAGCATCTGCTCTTTGAGTTCCTTTTACTGGGTTGGGCTGCTGGTAACAACCAACCACGCAACCTTGGACCAGTCACAGAACCTAAGGCCTCAAGTCCCTTATCTGTCAGCGGAGGCCAAGGACTGCCTGATCTGGGAACTGCCATCCAAAAACAACATTCCAGGGTGCTCTGTTCCCCTTCCAACCCCAGAGACAGAGTGGCCTGGCCTCCCAGCCTGCAGGCTCTCCAACCTCCCATGGGCTGGCCAGGAGTCAGCTTGTTTTTTTCCGGGGTGAGTCACCGTGAAGAATTCTGGGTACAGAGAGGATGGATGACTGCCCTCCCTGACTCCCACCACACTCCATCCTCTGCCCCTGTACCAAGTGCTGGACTGTGGGTACTGGGGTGTGGCCTGCTCGCAAGGGCTCCTCTGCTGCTCTGCCTCCCTCTTGTCTTTGTGTATCTCCAACCTTTAACATGGCACTAGATACGGCCCTGTCCCGTGGGGCTGTTGTGAATCAAATCTTAAAACTGGAAAGGTGTCCAGAGCTGGACTCGGGTGTTAATGTCTGTGACTATGATCTACCCATCCTGTCTAGAGAGTTCCTACCCTGCAGTGACCCTGGTCAGGGACTGACTGACTGAATTTTAGATGCTCCAGATCAGACCCTATGGAGACCTCGGAGCCTTCCTTCTCTTGGTGAAACAAGATCACCCTGAGCCTCCCAGAAAGGCCGGTTATTTCCTGATTAAAATGATTCCCATATAACCACAGTTGGGGCACAACAGCCAAGATTCTCATCCACTAGAATTCGCTCTCTGCTTCCTGTCTCCACATTCCACTGGGGGTTCACTGTCACAAGGCATCAGGTGGCCTGACGGTCATTTCCCCGTTCACACGCCCCGTTCACACGCCACCCCAGAGATGCCCTGGGGTGAAGGAAAAAGTTGAGTTATGAGCTGTGACTCTGCCTCTCCAGGTTGATACCAAGGTCTGGCTGTTTCTCACCCCTTCTCTGCCCCTCCCAGCCCCCTGCCCCTCTCTGCTGACCTCTGTGACCAATGTCAGTGCCATCTTCTCCCAATGGGAGCTCTTGTGTGAAACCAGCTGGGGTAGGTTGGCAATCAGATTCCCTGCCTGGAACCCCAAAGCACCAGTTTTCAGAGCAGAGGGTGAGTGTGTCTGTCGTACAAGGCTCAGAGCCTTTCTAGGTGTAGACCCAATGTGTGGAATGATGGCCAGGCCTGGGGGGGGGGTCTTCACCTGAGCTTCTATGCAGAAGGCTGTGTCCTTTGGGCCTGTCAGCACTGTCCACTCAAGGGACAAGCAGGGGAAGGGAAGTCCCACGTACTGGAGAGTGAAAAAAAGATGAGCTAAGAGCAAGAGCCCACAAATCCAAACCTCAGGTACCCAGCATGTGGTTGATACCAAGCCTCAGGTACCCAGCATGTGGTTGATACCAAGCCTCAGGTACCCAGCATGTGGTTGATACTAAGCCTCAGGTACCCAGCATGTGGTTGATACTGCAGTTGGAGCAGAAATGAGGACTCAGAGAAATCCTTGATGGCCTTTATACCTCTCAAGATCTCAAGGGGTTTTACAGCATCCTGGTGGCTTTGTGGAACATTCTAGAAACTATTAGCAGTGGGCCATGCATGAGGCCCCACTTATATTCTGATAGGACCTGAGGTCCCAGAAGACCTGAGCCCCAAAGCAGGGCTCTTGACTCTGTTAACAAGTGACTTGAACTTCTTTGCCTCCGAAATGCCCCCCTGAAAGGAATTATGTAAACAAGCTTGGGAGGATTAGAGTTAGTTGTTCGTTTGCATGTCACATTTCATCTCAGCTCAGTTATTTGAGGACTTAATGGCCACGTTTTCTGTCATAACCTCTGCCTCAAACACTTCTCGGCCAAAGCTGTGGTGCTAGCCTGTGGTCCTGGCTGCTAGACAGACTGAAGCAGGGGGCTGGCTATCTTGAACCCAGAAGTTCAAAGCCAGACTGAGAAACATGATTAGGATCCTGTCTCACCAACCAGCCTTGCCTTCTAGAGAATGATGGCCGGGAGAACGCGCACTCTGCGATTGCAGGATGATTCTAGGTTGGTTAGGCTGCTGGTTCTCACGGGTCCCTCTCCATTTCCAGGTGAGCCAGGAAAAGGGCAACTGCTCTTTCCAAAGGAACCCAACGCCCTGCATCATCCCTCAAGAACAAGAAAATATCTTCCATACTATATTTGCTTTCTTCGCCAAATCTGGAAGGAAAGTATTGGTAAGAAGTTGCCTACCACAACTGTGACAATGATGGTGGGCTCGCAGGGAAGGCATGGCAGAGAGGAAAGGCCAGTCTTCTGCTTGGCATTTACTTCTCAAGTCTGGTTTTCATCAGCCCCCTCAACGAGACTCAAAGACTATGACTGAACCCTGTTTTTCCACCCAGGGTTTCAATCATGATGTTACATGAAAACCTTCACAGCCCACCAAGCAGGATGTACATGATTTCTCCTCCTAGAAGGAATCCACAAAGGTGTCATAGTTCTTACACAACACACCGATGAAACCTCCTAGAAATTCCTCTTAGAATTAAATGTGCATTTCTGGGTCTGTCTCCAAGAAGTGAATGCAAGTGTTGTTCAAAGACGCAACAATGTCTGAAGCAATTTTACGGTAGCCAAAGTCAGAGCGATTCCGATACCTATCAATAGTACAATGAGTAAACAGTCATTCATACTCATGCTCAGGGGTATTATAGAACGATGAAAAATAGAATATAACTACTCTTGTTTCATATACTGTGTAAGATACGTAAGTCTCACAGAAATTACGCCAAATGAAAGAGGTCAAGAATAAAGGAACATTTGTGTCTAAGAAGCTCAGAAATAATGAAGGTGACAAAGATGTTCTGTAGCATGATCAGGGTGTTTCTACAGGTGAAAATATACATAAAACATATCAAGGTATTTACTTACAATTCTTTTTGCCATTTTACCTCATCCGGGCTTTTCCAAAACCCCCTTTTCCCATATCCTGATTACATGTCTTTAGCTCTTCCACTTAGGCACACCCCACCCCTCACTTGGGTACATCTCCCACCCACTCAGAGAAGCCCAACTGTTTAATATTAGAGGTTTGGGTTTTCTTTTTCTTTTTCCACTTGCTGTAACAAATACACCCCGGCATAAGTGACTTAGGAGAAAAGGGGTTAATTTTAGCCCACGGTTCCCAGGGCACTGTCCAGGAGAAAGTCACATGACACTTAGTCATGACTCAGCTAAAAAAGCAGAAGGAAAGGATTAACAAGCTCCTGCTTGCACTTGGCTCATTGTCTCTACTGTATCACAGTCAGGACCCCTGCCTAGGAACGGGGCCGCCCACAGTGGGCAAGCCTTCCACAGGAGACAGCCTTCTGCAGACCACCCTGACCTAGACGGTCCCTCACTGAGACTGTCTCCCTAGGAGTCTCCATTATGTCAAGCCGAACAGTGGCAGCCGTAGCAAGGGTGGCCCATTGTTTTAAAGGCTCTAGGTGACAATTGGATACAGTGACATCTGGCTGTATGCTACACACAACTCCATGTCAGGCTGGAAATGTCCCCTGAAAGATAAGCTTCACACACATGTGTGTGTATGTATGTATGTACATATACATGCTTACAAAGATACACTTTAACCCACAAAAGGAAAATTCCTCCTGGGTCATTGGGAATAAACTTTCCATTGGCAGCCTATGTGTCTCCGCTGGAAACAGGCATATGATGTGTTCCTGCCACAGCTCTCGCAGAATTGGATGTGGCTGGAAAGCATTCTTGTTCAAAACTCATAAAAGTACATCAGGATATGTAAATGTTTCTTTTTGAGGAGAATTGATTCTCCTTGTGAGATACAACCTTTCAGTAGGATTAACTGGTAGGCGCCCGCCCATCAGGTGGGAAATCCTTCTACCGCCCTCTGGAGGTGACAGAACATAATTACATCTTTAGCTTTGGGGTTTTTTGGTAGGGTATGTTATAGTTTGTTTGTTTTAAGCTATTCTTTAAAGCAATACAATTTATATGTTAATAACAGTAATAGAATTGTATGATGTTGTTTTAAACAGAAGAAATCAGGGAAATAGTTCAGGTTACACAACCCCTCCCCGCAAAGCATACTTATTTAAAAATCACTTTTTTTTTTTTTTTAAATAAATGACTTTATGGGATAAATGTATTTGGTGACTGAACAGGCCTAAGTCCTATTATACTCCATGTTTTGGAGCTGGGGATGGAATACTGGGCGGGGTCTGCCATCAGCCACTCCCCAGGCCCCGCCTCTTCCTCTTGAGGTCTTTATCCTGGAATCACCACAGTCACCACAAAGGGTGCTCTGCTCTGTAGACCATGGTGTCCATTTCTTCATTCCGTCTGGATATTTTCTTCGTAGGACTGTGAAAAGCCCGGGAGTTTCTGCCTCACAGTGCGCTGCAGCCTTAGCGCTCTTCCAAGAGAAGAGAGCCGCACCATCGACCTGTACATGCTGCTGAACACGGAAATACTGAAGAGGGTGAGTCCCGGACCGCGCCGCTGGGGCTACCCAGAACCCCCGGGGTCAGCTCCCCGTGACACCCCAGCTGCTCCTTGTCAGACTGTCCCCACAACTGGCGATTCTACCACCAGGCGTGGCCAATAAACAGTATCGAACACTCAGGGTTCAAGATTAAGCCAAGGACTGGTGTCACCTGAGAATATTAGAAATTCGGAACGCTGGGACTGCGCTCCATACAGACTTGGCCAGTCATCATCTGTACCAGCTTCCCGTATTCTCGTCTGCCCATCCGTTTTGTCATTCTTTGATTTTCTTTGAGCTAGTGGGTAGGGTGTGGTAGTGCATGCCTTTGGGAGGTTGAGGCAGGTGAATCTCAGAGTTCGAGGTCAGCCCGATCTACAGAGTGAGTGAGTTGCAAGACAGCCAAGACTACACAGAGAAACTCTGACTCAAAAAAACAAGTTGTGTGTGTGTGTGTGTGTGTGTGTGTGTGTGTGTGTGTGTGTGTGTGTACATAAAATGTCAGATTCTGGGCTGGAAAGATGGCTCCGTGTTTAAGAGCACTTCCTGCTCTTCCAAAGTGCCTGAGTTCAATTCCCAGCAACCACATTGTGGCTCACAACCATCTGTAATGAGATCTGGTGCCCCCTTTTGGCCTGCAGGGATACATGCAGCCAGACACTGTGTACAAGATAGAGAGATAGACAGACACATACATACATACATACATACATACATACATACATACATACATACATACCTCAGATTCTTTGGGGTTAGAATCTAAGATGCTGCCATTCTGACAAAGCTCACAAATTCTGCTGATCTGGGGACTGTGTTTTGTTTTTGATCAAAGACGCCAGCCTTTTCTGTCAAGGGCTATCAATGTTTTAAATAAGTTGACTTTGTGTTGGACTCTCCATGTTCATAGCTATGCTGGGGTGCATGTGGCACAGATGCACATGCTAATTAAGTCATTTACAGCCATTCAACTCTGCCTGCAGCCACAGGCAATATTCAAATGCAGGGCATGGCTGTGTTCCTTATAAAACTTTATTTACATAAACAAGCAGAGGGCCAGATTTGCCGGATTGCTTGTTCAAATGAACCCTCAAAGGAGTTGGACTTGTGAGTCACAGATCACTCTGCCACTATGGGTTTATCAAGTATGGTTCCAAATCTCTCAGCAAATCAGGGTTAATAGAGATTCACTGTGATTCACTTTAAGGTAAGAGCTTCCTGAGTGTGAGAGGCTTTGTGCCACAGAATGCTATAGGATAATTAGATATGAAGGTAAAATACACCTGTTAGCCTCAGACCTCCTATGCATTTTTATTTGGGAAGACCAACTGTGCATGATGTGTGTGAAGCCATCCACACTTGAGTACCGTGAGAAGCATCTCATTCATGGCCAGCTTTTAATTAGAGCCAGCCGTGGTGTGCCTGCCTGAGAAGATGCAGGTGTCAGGGGATGGGGTTTGGCTTTGTTCTGTGTCCCCCCCCCACCTCTCTGAAGCTATTACAGTCTCCACATGCCATAGGGAGCTGGACACCATCTGGGTTCCCCAGTTTAGAAACCGTTTTGGAGAAGTTGGGCTCACACTCAGGGCTTCTGTGGTGTACCCACTTTCTATAGGACAGTGTTGAAGGAGGCTGGGCATGAGCTATACTCCACATCTCCTTCCAAGAAGACCCTGCCTTGCACGGGTCCCCGAGTCTGCACACTTGGCTGCCTTTCTTAGCCCGTGCTGCTGACAGTTGTATTTCCCATGACGCTCACTTGTCTCCGGAGCAATGGCACTACACAGTGAAAACCATTCAGCCATCTGCACCCTCTGTCCATGGCCCCTGCTTGACCTTCAGTCCCGGGGGCTGGGTGTAACTGTGAACAGCTCCGAGCTGGTGGTTCGGCATCTCTCCCTAGTGACCAGTGAGTGACATGCAGGCTTATGACCTGTACAGGACCCCCAACAGTCCCACACAAAATTAATTAAACAGCTAATTAAATGTAAAATAAATAGAGGATGCATGAAACCAAAATTACAAAACCATTGGAAAACTTTATGAAACAGAAATTTTCTTTTGAATAACCATCCTCCCAGACTTACCAAGGTCCATATCCCAGTAACTGTTATGGAGTCACCCAAACCAATGGAGCCTCAGGCAAGGGTGATGACAGCCCTGGGATGCCACACAGGGCCTTGGAGGCTGGTTCTGAGTGGCCCTGCAGCAGGAACTTAGGTCCAGCGTGCAGTCTGTGACAAAACTGGCTTGGAGGCCACATGGGGCTCAGCTGCCTCTGAGTCTGAAACAGTGTTAGGAGCTTGGAGCCCAGCACAATGTCTTTGGGGTCAACCAGATGGCCCCCGGGCCACAGGGTCTCCCCGAGGACTTGGATGAATACAGATCTTGTGGCTGGTCTCAGCCTATCCCAGCCTAGAGTTGTGTTTATTTTCCTTTGACCTCAAGGTCTGGCTCCAGACAAGGGAATTTGAGGTTTTATTGTTTTAACCTCAATGAGTTTTCATTTGAAATGTTGGGTCTGATTTTTTTTTTTTTTTTAAATCATCGAAGGATTGGATTTCTTTGGAAGTGTCCCTAAGGCCTTCTTCACAGCCACCAGGGGCCTGCTCTATGCCAGCCCTTCATCTGTGTGGCCTTTAACCTTACCGTCACTGTCACTGTTAATATCTAAGGTGGCGCTAATGATGATTCATAATAGAAAATGCAGTATCAGAGGACGGCTTTCTGTCTCAGTGGGTAAAGGCGCTCACTGCCAATCCCGTCTACGTATGGTCCATCCCCACAATCTACATGATGCGAGGAAAAAAACTGACCAATGAAAGTTGTTTACTGTCCTGACATGTGTGGGCTATGGCCTGTACGGGACAACCAACACTCCTGCACAAATTAATTATCTAGTTAATTAAATGTAAAATAAATAGAGGATATATGAAACCAATATTTAAAAAAACTCCTGAATTGCTAGAAGATTGTATGAAGCATAAATATTCTTTTGAACAACTGTCCTCCAAGAAACATCTTAAAATGTATTTTTATTAAGGAGGGGGTTGTAAAGAAAATGGGAGAGCTAGAGAGATAACAGCGGTCAAATGCACTGACTGTTCTCCCAGAGGACCAGATAGAGCTCAGTGCCCAGCACCCATATGGTGACTCCTAACTGCCTGTAACTCCAGCTCCAGGGGAACCAACACCCTCTTCTGGCCTCTTCGGGCAAATGCACTCAGGCGCACATACCCACCACATACACACATAAATATACATAATAACATTAATTTTTAATAACAATGTTAGATTTGATCCGTGCATATACAGCTTTGCAATTCAAGTAGAGCTCACACAGGAAGGAGCCCAGCACTCCTGTGAGAGTCTGCAAACACCAAATAAAGTTCACTAATTCAAACAAGTGATACATTGTCTGTAAAACTCTTAAGCTGTAGAAAAATAATTTCTACACACCCCTCAGGTAAAGTACACCATCAAAAGCCCCCTTATGCCACTCCAGGGTAGTCTGTGGTTCCTGGGTGATGAGCTCCAGGTCCCCTTGGAGCTTACGGCTAGAGAAAAAGGCCTTCATCATTTAGGCCATGAAGGTCAGTGCTGGCAGCTGATGGTGAGATGCTGTTTGCCCATTTTCTGTTAGTATCACGGGGAGCGTGAGACCAGGTAACATATAAATAGTAGAAGCCCCTTTTATCTCAATGACATTGAAGTTCAAGGGCATGGTGCATAGGTTTGGCCTCTGGTGAGAGGTGGTAAAATGGGGGGGGGGGGCGGTCTCACACCGTGAGAGCCCAGGTCTCTCCTCTTAGCCACCACAAGACTCCTCTCTCTCTCTCTCTCTCTCTCTCTCTCTCTCTCTCTCTCTCTCTCTCTCTCTCTCTCTCTCACACACACACACACACACAGAGGAAAGGAAACCCACAACAGACCAAAGTAACAATTGGGCCAATTCGGACTTGGTGACCCAAGGAGTATTTGCTGTGGCTTCTACTGGAATGTAGATGAGCCATCACTTAGAGCAGCTAGGATGACACAAAGTAGCAAACAGTCCCTGCATCACTGAAAGCCCCGCCCTGGTACAGGTGGCACCACAAAGACTCTGCAGCCTGAGCTCTGTGCCCAGCTTGCAGGCAGCTCCACCACAGCTGGTCAGAGTCCCCTTCCCAGGGCTCCCCTATCCCCGCAGCTGCTTGCTCCTTTTATAAAGCTGGGAGAGGCTTCCAGGATCTTTCTAGTTTCACTTTCCCAGACATGGACCTCGCCTTTACCTTCTGCATCACATGAGCATCTACTCCCTCTTGGAGAGAAGGTTTCAGTCCCAGGAAGCTGCCACACAGCACATGGACACTGCACCGTCTTGACTTGGCCTAATCTAACTTCCAAAAGCCTAGCCCTGAATCCCACATGCAGGCTCATGGCTCCAGGGACTGAACTGCCAACACTTGAATTCTAGGGACATGTACAAACCATAGTGTCCCCCTCCAGTGACAGAGGAAGTCAGAGCAGATGGGGAGAACAGAGACACCTGGCTGACAGAGCCCAGCCATCCCACAGGGGCAGTGAGGGGACCTCACAATCAACAAGGTCCCCTCTGGCCTGGGATGCTGGCCTTTCCTGAGGCCCGAATTTTGCCAGCCCATGTCTTCTGCATCCCTGCTTTGGAGCCACGTGCCTGTTATCTGGGTTGTGGCTTTGAAACTGAGCCTACAGCAAGGCTTCTATCTGCTTTTGCCAACAGGCAGAGTCTCAGAGCCCCCTCCCCCCTCCCTTTGCCCCTTAGACCTGATTTATAAACTAGATCTTTATGTCCCCTACCTTACCCCACCCCATCACCATTCCATCAGATACCCTCTTCGGATGTGCAGTGGCTTCAGCCTCCAGAGAGCATCATCATTTAAGACAAAGAAAGAGTTAAGAATAGCTAAGCCTTCATGGTTTTGAGGACTGTGGTCAGGGCAAGAAGATGACTAGAAAATGGGAATCAGATGCCTTCTGGGGAATGCCAGGCTGGGATTTGTTGCACACGATTAAACAGTTTTAGTTATCCTCCACTCTCTGCGAATATGTCGGTAACAATCACCAGCTATCTGGCCCTAACCACTCAGAAACCACAGCACACAGGGTTGCTTGTGTTCCTTACTGGCAAACTCAACGGCGACTCTGTGCCCTCCGCCATCCAAAGGGATTCTCAAGAGAGGCTGGAAGCATGTCTTTGTGGGTACCTGCTATGGGGAAGCTGCTGGTTTAGGGATGAAATGCGTTTGGAGTTTCCGTAGGACCCTGAGAGCTCAGCCCTGCATGTCCCCTCCCGTGGGCGACTCACTCTCGATGTCATTTGAAAATAGCCTCATGAGTTATGTCATTTCTTCCACAGGACAGTTCCTCTGTCATCCAGTTCATGGCTCGAGCCAAGGTGAAGGTGGACCCCGCCCTGAGAGTGGTGGAGATACCCAACGGGAACCCAGAAGAGACCCAGGTGAGTCTGCGGCGAGACAGCTCTCCTCAGAGGATTGCGGAGTTGGAGCTGGGATCTGAGGGGAAAGAAATTCTCTAAGCCAAGATGAAGTGTTTGCATAGACCCAAAGACATGCCTGCTCTGGCTTCCAGGGCCCCCTGGAAGGCCTCATGGTTCTGTTGTTGTGTTAACACTGTTCTTAGGACGCCGTTGGTATGCGAGAGTTTCTTGTAGTGATTGGCCAAAGGAAAACTGTCTGGAAGTATCCTCAGCAGGGCTTAGATTTCCACTCTGAAGCCAGGGCTATTTTTAATCTCTCTTGGACCCTTCCCTAAAACCTCTTCTGTTCCCCTGCCTATGCTGTTCCCTGGATAAGCACTGGGGAACTTGGGAAACAATTGCTTGCTTGTCTTAAAAAAGCCATGTTGAACTGCCAAGACCTAGAACCTTCTTCATGCTCTCCCTCTCCCTTCTTCTCCTTAGAGTTGTCAGGCCTCAGACTAGGCAGTGACCCTCAGAGCGTAGCTACCCAGTGAAGGAGACACTGGACAGAAAGTACGGCCTTGGAATTCTGTGTATTTTTACTTGTTCCTGGGGAGGGAAGGGCCGCCCACTGTTTGACACCTTCCTAAGTGCAGAACCAGGGGAGTTGAAGGGGAAACAGTCCTGCTGAGGGGCTGTACAACCTGCTGGTCTTCAGTGTCCCTTCCCAGGCATTTTACCTTCTCTCAGGGGAGACTTGGCCCCTCTCGGAGAATCTGTGATGCTTTAACAAACTTATGAACCGAATTCAAGAAGAATTATGTGCTTGCACAGAAAAAAAAAATTGTTAACTTTTTTCCTAACCACATCAGAGATGTCCTGTTTCATAACGCTGGGATGTGAGGAGCTGGGGTGATGGTTTAGTCGGTAAAGTGCCAGGATGATGGATGAGTTCTGGTCCTCGGCACCCATGTAAGAAGCCAGGTGTGGCAGTGTGCACCTATAATCCTAGCTCTGGGGAAGTGCAGCGTCCCCTGGGGCTTCATGGCCAGCCTGTCTAGCTAAAGCAGTGAGCCCTGATGACATCCCACTCTGTCCCTCTTCCCATGAGTCCATCATGAGAGCAGCAGCCAGTCTGGGGTGTCTAAAAGCGCGGGGAGCACAGTTCATGAGAGGGCCTGCCCTCCCACACCAGTTCAGGGACGGTGTCAGTCCTGACCTCTTTTCACATGGACCAGCTGCCTAGGACGAAACTCAAGTCCTCCACAACTCAGGCTCCACAACCAGGGGTTGGCACGAGTCTCTTTCTCTCTGCGCTCTGGCCACTTAGCTCAGCACTGTACCTAAACCATGAGAGAGCAATGGTCCCTGCTCACTGTCACAGCACTGCTTAGAGATCACTACAGGATGAAACACGCCCAGCATCCACCAACAGAGACAAGCAATGGGTGTGCAACAGAGAGAAAGCACTGGATGCGTGGTCTTCACCCCGGGACCCGGGAAGCACGGTACAGCATCAAGTATTGACTCTTCTGTCCTGAGTGCTGTGGTGATACTCTCCTTATCAAGCGTTGGCAAGAAGCTGTTGTTGGGTTTTTTCATGCTCCCATTAGGGAGGGGAAGGAGCACACAGTGAGAATCCCAAGAGCGCCCTTCTTGAAGGCTCCTCCACCGCCGCCCTTCTGGTCCATAAACAGAGATTCCATGCTTCGGTGTGTTCTCAACTTTCCTAGTAGGGGAAAAAAAAAGTCTTCTCTGAGTAGGAAGACTTCTGGTTTTAGAAGAAGTAAGTACACTTCCCCCGTGTGACTCTTCTGAGCATCTGGCCTCCGTCAACCGCGAGTCTGAAGGGGGATTTCCACAGAGGCTGGCCAGCAGGCTTAAATCAGGTGAAATGTCACAGCCTTGCAGATTAGGTACCAGTTGTTGTGGCCTTGGACCGATGAGGAGGTGCGTCTGCGTCTGCCATCCAGCAGGGCATGGATGAGAGGAGGGACACAACCCAGTTTTTAACCATCAATAGAATACATACATGATGATGAATTAGGAAACTCAAATGCTTTTCCTTGTGTCATCTCCTCCACCCCGCCCCGCCCCGCCCCCAGTGCTGGGAATCACGCCTGGGGCCCTAAACATGTCAGGCAAGTGGCCTACCCCAAGGTCCATCCTCTGCACACATGTTATGATGCAGTGGTACTACAGGTTATCTGTCAGTCACTAGACGTATACTGTAGATTCTTTGTTTGTTTGTTTCAAGACTTGCTCCTTAATGGACCCATCAGAGATGTTTACTCTCAATTACTCTTCTAGTGCTGTGGTAAGATATCACACCCAAGGCAAAACTTGTAAGAGGGAGAGTTTATTTGTGGCTGACAATATCAGAGCACGAGTCCGTGAGCATCATGGCGGGAGGCATCATGGCAGGAGGCAGGAGGGCATGGCAGTGGTGTGGGGGCTCATAGTTCACATCTGGATCCACAAGCATAAGGCAGAGAGAGGTGACTGGGAATCGTGGAGACTTTTGAAACCCGAAAGCTCACCCCCTCCAAGAGGGCCACATCTTCTAACCCTCCCCAAGCACTGCTAACAGCTGCGGACTAGGTATTCAAGCATATGGCGGCCATTTTTATCCAAACCACCACACTTACCAGGAGTAGCAGCCAAGATTAACTTTAATGGTGCTTATCTGGTTTCATACAGTTTCAAGGCCAAAGGGCTGGTTGTGAAGAGCCAATAACACGTTGGCTTTCATATTCAGCTCAACCCAACTTACTTCCCAGAGAGTGAGTTGGGGTAAGAGAGAAAAGTTAAAGAGAAAAGGTAGAAAGTCATCGTTGGTGTTCACAAGGATTTTGGCATAGCTGTGTACATCCTGGGAAACTCTCCATTGGGAGCAGGGGTTCACTTCAGAGGGGTCCCTTATCAACGGTTTCACGCTCTATGGTTTGTTCCTAGTCAGCCACATTCTGAAATACTAATAGAAAACTCCAGACACAATCAATAAGTACCATTATTCAATAGTGTTGTATTTTTTCTATCTTATGTGTTGTTATTGCTGCTACTCTCCTACCGTTATAAATTAAACTCTATGGTGACCGTAGAGTGAGTATTGGTGGGGGTTAGCACTAACCACAAAAATTCACTGAGGTCTTAGAAAACACTCTCTTGGGGGAGAGCTTTGTAGTGAGTGAAAATGGAAATACACTCCGGAGACATCTAACCCCATTTGTGAGCCAGGAAAAGGGACTAAAAGGTCAAGAAGAGTTAGAGACGTCGCTCACCCTGTGAATTGACCTCAAAAGCCAACACCTGAAGCAAAAGACTCATCAAATATTCTGCATCAGTTAGGTTTTTGTTTGATTGGGTTTTTGTCAACTCAACACAAGCTAGAGTCATCTGAGTGAAGGGAACCTCAAATGGGAAATGCCCCCATTGGGTTGGCCCGTCAGGGCATCTTTTTTATTGATGATTGATTGATATGAAAGGACCTAGTCCCTCGTGGGCAATGAAGTGGACATGGGTAGTATAAGAAAACAGGCTGAACAAGCCAAGAGGTGTACTCCTCCACGTTCTCTGCCTCAGACCCTGCCTTGAGTTCCTGCTCTGACGTCCCTCAATGATGTACTGCAAGGTTTAAGATGACCTACTCTTAATCCTCCCCTACCCGACTTTAGGCCTTGGAGTTTTACCACATCAATAGGAAGCTAACTAAGACATATCCCATACTTTCTGAAGATTTATTTTATTATGTTTAATGATATGTATATACTACATATTTATGGGTGCCTGTGGAGGCCAAAGGCATTGGATCCCCTGGAGCTAAATTTATAGGCAGTTTTGGGCTGCCTCATATGGATGTTAGGAATCAAATTTGGCATCCTCTTCAAGAGCAATACTTGCTCTTAACTGCTGAGCCATCTCCCCAGCCCCCAGCACCCCACATTTTTTAGGGGACCAGCCAACAAAGGAGGCTGGAGACTCCCCCAGTATAAACTAAAAGATGATTGAATTGTTAGTTATTGGGGGGGCATCGCCCCAAACTCCCTTTCTCTACATGTGAGGGTGGCATGCATTCTTACCTGTGCTCTTACTATCTGCATATAATAGAAGGCAGTTGGATGATCATGCCATGGCATGTACACAACAATGAATGCCACCTTGGAGACAGCATCGGAAACCTACTCTTTCCCACTTTGGCAAAAAACAGAGTAAGCGAGCATTTGACATAACTGAGGGCTGTTAGAATTAGGAGAAGCACACTGTGAGGGTTTGAGAGGAGTCAGGGGACGTGGCGAGCCAGGGCCATGCTCGGTGCGGCCACAGGAAGAACTCAATGCCCTGGGCTCTGGGGCCAGCTCCCCTGACCCCTTGTCAGGGAGGAGCCTGTCACCAGCTAATGCTGGAACCTTGTACCTGGGGACCAGGCCGTGGTCTTATCAGCTGTTCTATCAGGGCCCACCTTTCCCTGTGGCCCATGCGTGGGGAGGAGGGGACAACGGAAGGACAACACTGGGCCACAGATAGTGGCTGGTCCCTTCAGGGTACTTCAGGAGTCATGAAGGGCAGTGGCAAGTCAGCCACCCTTGCATCTGGGCAAGAGTCGTAGACTAAACTCATGGTCCACCTGCTGATGGCCGCTTCCAGGGCGAGCGGCCACGTTAATGAGAAAGCATGGAAACCTTGTCCAAGGATGGCCGCCAGGCTGTGTGTGCTTCGCTCTCTTTGAAGAACTAAAGTGAGCTGGGCGTGGTGCCCCACCTGAAGCCCCAGCGCTTGGGAGGCAGAAGCAGAGGATCCTGAATTTAAGGCCAGCTTTGCCTGCATAGCAAGAGCCTGTCTGAAAAACAAAACAAACGAAAGTACTGTAATGAGCAATGTTTCCTCAGTGTGATAGGAGGGAGCCTTGGGTTCCTCCTGCATGTGGGATGTGGAGATTAACCCTGAGCAGTCCCTGGAAGATCTGTGGTGCCCTTCCCTGTGAGAGCCTCTAAGCCCCTCTTCTCAGGAATGAAGGAGTCTGGGACACGATCGGCTGGAGA